GCCTGAAGCGCCAATGCAGAAAATCTGAGCGTTTGTGGAAGAAAACTCATCTCCACGTCCATCTGCTGCACCTAAAAGATCTTCTGACATCCTTTAACTCTGCAGTCAGAGATGCAAGGGTTTCTGTTTTTTCCAACCTGATGTCCCAGAGCAAAGGGAACCCCAAGGTGCTGTTTAACACCATCAGCAGTATCGTCTCTCCTGCCTCTCCTACAGCCTCCATCCACTCTGTTGCAGACTGTGAGAACTTTCTGTCTTTCTTTGTGAACAAGTCAATAAGGTTAGATCTAGCATCTCTCCTTCAGCCTTATTGCTGCCTCTCCCGACTCCAACCAGACCCATCATCCTAGATAGCTTTGCTCCTGTTTCTTTGCCAGAGTTAACCAAACTAGTTAACTCTATGAAGACCTCTGCATTCCCCCTTGACATCTTACCCACATCTTTGTTTAAAAGTGCTTTTCAGTCCATCGGTCCCAGCGCGCTCTCCATTATTAATGCTTCTCTGGTTTCTGGTCAGGTCCCTGCTTACTTTAAGAACGCTGTAATCCACCTGCTTCTTAAAAAACGAGTCTTGACCCCTCTCTCCATAGCAGCTTCAGACCCATCTCTAAACTTCCGTTCATCTCCAAGATCTTTGAAAAGGTTGTGGCTAAACAACTCACAGCTGCTCTTGATGAACATAACATCTATGATTGCTTCCAGTCAGGTTTTCGTAGAGCTCATTCTACTGAAACAGCTCTTCTTAGGGTCTCTAATGACCTTCTGACTCACAGTGATGCAGGGGACTGTTCTGTTCTGGTCCTGCTGGACCTGACTGCAGCTTTTGACACTGTTGACCATCACCTGCTACTGGAGAGGCTGAGAGACTGGGCAGTTCTATCAGGAACTGCTCTGGAGTGGTTCTCCTCCTATCTTTCTGAGCGTTCCTTTTCTGTGGCCGTCTCCAAGTTTAGGTCCTCCACCACCTCCCTTACCTTCTTGGAAAATTAACGGGTTCTTAACCTCTAACCGGAAGCCCGTTAAACATCAAGACCTCTTCATGGCTTGTGATAACCCTAGCGACATCACATGACATGCAGATCTATTGGCGTGAAGTCAAAGGTCTTTCTCGTGTACCCGGAACTGATAAGGATCTGATTGCAGACTCTCTTGCCAAACAAGGCGCAGCTGTTGGTACCCCATGGTCCTTTAACCCCTTGTGGCTCCCTGACAGTGTGTCTTCTCGGTCAAACCCACCCCGTGTGTGTGTCGTGACTTGAGCTCAGGCCGTTAACGCGTCCACCTCTCGACCGTCCGATGGTTTTGAGTCTGTTCTTCCTGTCTTTTCTGAAAACAACCTTGTCAGTCTTCAGTCCCAGAACTCTGATATTAGCAGGATGATCCTGTACCTTTCTGATCCGACAGCTCATCTGCCTTCTCCTGTCAAGCTTGACTCCGTTCCTGAGCTATGGGCTCTCTTTCGTGTTCGTGTCATTCCCTCTCTAGGTGTTGTTAACTACAACGGCGCTGTCAGAGTGACCAGTCGATCCACAGCCTCCAAGGTCAGTGACACCCACAGAGTCTGTGTCGTCTCTGCAGCAAGATTGCTTCACTCGGGGGTGGGAAAACCACCTAAAGCTTGGTTTATGCTTGACGCATTCACTTTCCGCTTGGTGATGCGGCTCGCGGATGGAACACGCTTCACAACTTGCAGCGTTTATAGGTTCATGCGGCTCGTCTCTGCGGTAAGCTAATATTCTCCCAAACTGTAGGGGGCAGCATAGAGCTCTACGGCATGCATCCAACACTACACCATAGTAGAAGTAAAAATTACTGTTGTTTACAACATGTCATTCCAGCATGTTTTAACAGCGTCCTCGTCTTTTCCGACAGTGCGAGCTATTTCTCTCCAAGAATTATTAACAACGTGTTGATCGCGGTGATCTTTGAGAGCTGAATCATACAAATGTCTGTATTTACGAACCTCTGCCATACTAGTTCTTGCCAGTCCGCCATGTTTTTCCGCGTCCGACCGTCCGCATGGTTAGAAAATTTCCTAGGTGCGTGGTGCGGAAATTTTGGGCCGTGCGGAGGCGCTGTGGAGGGGCGTGGTTGTTAAAATGACGCAACTTCGCGGATGCGTCAAGCATAAACCAACATTAACCTAGGGGAGTTTGCAGTGGCCCTGCACCTGAGACTCCGCACACTGGAGTGGGTACACCACCTGCCGAAGGGGGAGTTGATGGTGGCGCCGAGACTCCAGCTGAAGCCCAGTACCTTGCGGTGGGGACGCCACCTGCCGAAAGGGGGGGCTGACAACATCACTGACCCTACTCCTACAGCTGGTGCTAGTGACCTCTAGACCTGACGTTGGTGACTCGCCTACCACAGGGGGAAGGTTGAATGCCACCCTGTGACCACACTGGCTGACCCTGATCTCTGACTGCACCTGCGAGTTGTAACGTCAATAAACCATTACGCTACAGCGTCGACCGAGGGCCCTCCAGAGAACACACCTGCACCAGACACGTTCTGAGACATTGTATTCACCCGCAAACAAACACTTCATATTAGATTCATCCAAACACAGGGTTGCTTTTTTAATACCAAAGTCTTTTTAATATCAAAGTCTTTAATAAATTGTCATGTTTTATAATTGTTTAGTAATAAATTTCTTAACCTTCTTAAACTTGACTCTTTCTTGAAATAAACACAGAGTGGGTGTACATTGATCACTGAACAGGCAAAGATCTTTAGATCTTCTGAATTAACAAATAATCTTTGCTATTAAATTAAATCTTTAAAAATAAATATTATAATCTGTTGATTAAACATAGACCAAGCAAGTTGGTGTATGAATTTATATCTATTATATTTACATATCCATATACAATCTCATTCGTCAATTTGTTTGATCTTAGGAATTAAAATATAAGCTGATAGCAACAGCCTTTAATTCCTATGTTTAGGTCATTAACCCCACAGTAACACTGAATCATCTCTGGTTTCGGTGTTTAACTGGCTTATGCAACATGTGGTGATCTCTCCTCACATCAGCATGGAGCCATAAAAACTCTTCCAGACAGAACGTCACTTTATTTAGAAGTAGGGAATATAAAAACATATATGGAGTAAACTAAGGAAAGATGGGCAAAGCGGGCAGATCTAAAGGCTCCTTATGCTAAATAAATGGGACTTGTGGTATAGCTAGTTTGTGCTGACACGCAGCGGTCAGGGTTGTACAACAGCTCCTATCTATAGAGGGGAAGCCAACATACTCACACTGCTTGTAAACTTCATTGACATTTGAGAAATCATTGATGTCAGCGAGAAGCACGGTGGTTTTAACAACTGCCAGAAATGAAAGTAAACTGCATGAAGAACATCTGCAGAACAATGGCTTCTGCACAGAGGATCGCCTCACCGTTCTCGTAAGTGCATCCAGCCATTCGGAGGATCTCCCCCATGTTCACGAGAGCCTAGGAATAAAACACAACAGACTGTTGCAACACATGGACCTGAACTTTGTCCCATGAAGAGCTAACATGATCCTGGTGACACTTTAAAGCCAAAGCACAGTCAGAGCAGCTGCTACGTACTTAGCGGATTATTTTGTTAATACGGCTGAATGTTTGGATAGTTTTACATCTGTGCAGAGCAGCTGTTGTGTTGTTTTAGATCATTCATTCACTCATCATTCATTGGTTTACTGTAAAGAATGTTTTCCCACACAGCTGCTGGTTAACACTGGTTATTAAAGTAAAGTCATGCTAAAAAAGTTACTTTGCAGAATACTAAAGTAACTATAGCCACATCTCAGGTGTGTGGGTGTGAAATCAGCAGATGGAGGATGACACCTGTCTGGTTTGGGCCTGAACACCGCCTGAACACCGAAATGTTCCTTGGTTAGGCTTCGGTTTATGTCTCCACATTTCCTCTGTGATGCAGAGAAATATGCAATATTTTGAGAGGGATGGTTTAGTGCAAAGTACTCACACATCCTGTCATCAGTTTGGTTATGTACCACTGCAGGATCAGATGTAGCTTGTTAACACCCTTTCTGGGTCTAGAGGCTCCTGCTGTAAGACTAGATTGGGCTCACTTCTGGCTGGCTGCTGTTCTTCCAGTTCATCCTTCTGTGATGGCGTTGGTGCTACAGCGTCTTCCGCCGCATCTTCCACCGCGTCTTCGGGCTGTGTCTGCTCTGGGTCTGGCCTCTGGCTCTGCTGACTCGAGCAGGTTCACAGCTGTCGGACGGCTGCCCGAGCAGCCCGACAGAAACTTCTGTAAAGCCCCCCGCTGTCTCTTCTTTTGTTCCTCTTCATTTTTTTCTTTTTACGTTTTGCCGCACCCGAAAGCATCGTGAAAGTTAGCCTACTCAAAAACACCTGCTAGCTTTGTTGTGTCCCGCTCTGACTGACCGCTTCTCTGACGTCCTTAATTGGGTGGCGCCCAAGTTGTAGAATACAGTCATGGGCTGGCGTTAATGTGATGTAGCTAATGTGACGGTCTATGGTTAAGATAAACAGTATCACTATTTTTAGTTAATTAATAAATATTGAAATAAACTGTAGATAGGAGTCCTATCCACAAATTATATCATAGGAGATTTGTACATTTAATTTTAAATTAATTAATTTCTAATTTTGTCCCTCTGTCTGGGCCCCATCCAGCCAATCAGGCCCTAGGCACGTGCCTACTTTGCCTTTGCGTTAATCCGGCTCTGCTCGGGGGTGACGATGGCTGAAGATATCGTGTTAGCGTTCACACTTGTTTAATTTTCTATTTTAATTCTGGTGCCTGTTAGCAGCTGAAACACATCCTCACGTGCTTGTGGATATCAAATATTCAATATGAAGACATGACTGTAATAATAAGTGTAGCAGGATGAGGTAATCTGCTCCTGATTTTAATAAATAACACCTGGTATTAAAGTCAGGAGCAGATTACCTCATCCTGCTACATAAGTAAAGGTTAGCTGCTGTAATTTTAGTGTGCTCATAGAAAACGTGACAAAAGAACACAAAACATGTTTCTCTTTATGACCTATATAGTTGTCATCAACATAACATGATTTACAGAATACATGTGACCAACTAACTTCATGTTCTATCACCGGATGACCTCGACAAGCACCTTTTGGGTCACTCGGGAGAGAAGCATTTCATCTGTGGTCGTTGTGGAGCAAGGTGTTCTCGACAGGGAAGTTTGTGCAAACGTTAAAATCCACACGGGAGAAAAACCATTTGCTTGTGATAAAAGATTTATCCAAAGCCAGTTCACTTAAAACTTAAAGTTTCTTCTAAAGAGAGACGCTTCGTTTGTAAAGAAAGTGGGGGAAAATGTGTTCGGTCATCACATCTGAGAATGCACCAGGTAGTTCACGCAGGAGAGAAACCATTTAGCTGTGATCGATGTGGGGCGAGTTTTCCAAGATGGGATTCTCTGAAGAGGCACGCGGTCAAAGCACACAAAAATATAAACTCACAACTATAAATATGTAAATAGTTTATTTTACCTTGTCTGCAGTTGTGTTTTCTGTTTGTATTTTGTGTGTAAGTCTACAAAGATGCAGTTCAGTCGCAGCTGAATTTTGGGCCATTCCCATCTGTACCGGGTCGGCCCGGGCCGGGTAGCCCCAGCCTGGCCCGGTTGATTCCACACATCCTTGCCTTAAGCCCATGTGGGCTGATTCTACCCACCAATCAGAGGCTTGCTCTAATGGAAGGTGTGAATTTGCTGTCAGCAGTGGGTGTGTTGGCCCTGTTCGGCCTGAAGCAGACCCCCTCGAGAAGAGGGCTGAGAATGAGCCTCGGTTGGCCCGGAAAAATACCAGGCCACCCAGATATGTAAACAACCTACGCTACCCGGCCCGGGCCGACCCGGTACAGATGGGAATGGCCCATAAGATTCAGAACAGCTGAGCTGACTCTCATTTGGGAATGCATTAGGTTTTTTTAGTGAACAACACCCCTGATCAAACGCTGCTAAATGTTGAACCGTCTGCTCAAAATAAATAAAATCAGTTTTATTTTACTTATTTTTTTCTTTATTTTTCTGTTGTCCTGTAGAGAGGACAAAGTTCTGTTACACATCGCATCAGATCTTTGTGATCTTTGTCTTCTTCACTACTAAAATCCATCCACACCTCTTCGCCCCCTTGGACCATCAGGGAAAAGTCTTCAGCGGACTCTGAAGTTACTGTAGGGCTCAACAGGGGGATGATGGAGATGATTTCAGAAAGATTTGTAGATAAAATGATGGATGGCAGGTGAAAGACGAGGTGCAAAAAGGCTACATTTCTGATAACGAGCGCAAAAACATACAAAATAAACTCAAAGAACCACAATAAAAAGAGAATACTTAATGAGCAAACACATACGTGCTAAAATCATACAAAGGAACATGAAAGCTGATAATGAGAGTGTGGAAATGACTAAATGCTGTTAGAAGTGGTGAATAACTGAATATTTCAAACTGATTTCACTCAATCTGAGCAGCGAGGATAAATGTCTACCAAACCTTATGCACCAGATGTCTTAGATGCAGAGAATCGACCTTTTCTGTTTGAAAAGGAATGCAGCGAAAATGGAGGAAAATCGGATGAATCCCGCTGAAGGTTAAATTCAGCGATGGCCAGCTGGCGTCTGCTCACTACAGAACTCAGATTTAGGATTTGAAACGTTCGGCATCGACGGAACGAGCCTCTGCGATGGTGAAAGAGGCGCCGAGGCTCGTGGAGCGGGAGCCCACCCTCCCCACGGGTTTGCAGCTTTAACGCAAAGTGAGGCTGCCTCGCTTGCATGTTTCTTGTTTAGGTCCATGAAGAGGATAGAAAAGAGAAAATATGAGCAAGAAGAGTTCGGGTGTACAGAGGAGCAGAGCTACAGAGTGATGCCAGAGTGAGACACAAAGCAGGTGTTTGCAGTCTGAAGATTCCAGTGAGAGAGAACAGAAAATTATTTTTTCATAGTTGTTCCTGTTTTTCTTTTTTTTTTGTTTTTGTTTGTTTGTTACAGTTTGTTGTGATTTCCTGTTTAGAATAGATCCACATGCAGATTCATGACAGCCGCAGGCAGGTGGTTTGAAGTGCACAGCCTGGAATCCTCAGAGAAATCCTGGAAGATGTGGGACGGCTCAGATGATGCCGTACTGGGCCAGCTCGTGCAGCTCCAGGTGGTTAAAGGCCTCCCAGGGGCAGATGACCGTGATGTCTGAAGAGAGGGACAGAAATGTGAAGCTGTTCAGGTTCCTGAGTGTTCCTAAAGAACATTTTAAACAGACGTAAACTCACCTGTGCCCAAGCCCTCCATGCCGGGAATGTCATCACCAAAGCTGCCAACAAAACAAAGATTACTAACTTAAACCTCGGTTTACTTTGAACAACTCTGAAGGAAGCAGTGGTTTATTAGAGGCTTACCCCTGCACGCCTTTCTTTGGAGGTTTGCTCTTGAACTGGCGGGTCTGCCTCTGTTTGAACTTTGGTGGACCCTTACGCGGAGTGGCAGGGCCACCCGTGACTCGGGTGGCTGGGCCACCAGAGACTCGGGTGGCTGACTTGGTCTCAGGTTTGGGCGGCTCTAGATTCATTTTAACAGGAGTGAAGCGTGTGTAGGTTGTCTGGTTTAGAAACTCCTGCAGTTTGGAAACAAAAACTATAAGAAGGAGCAACTTTTCCCCATATGCAGACCACAAATCTTATCTTATGTGATGCATGTCTAACATATAGCTCCTGTCACCTCTGTGTGACATTATCTCCGGTAATCTTCTTGCACAGCTGAGAAGCACATGACAGGATCACAGCTTCCCTGTGACTGATCGTCTGACGTGGACCAAAATGCAGCCCGTTCAGCAAAGATGACCCAATTTCCCATAATCCCTAGCTCTTGTTAATAAGCTCTCTCGCCCTCTCTGTTTCAAGCTGGTCTCTCTCATGTAATCTTATTAAAACAAGGACGACATGGGAGAAATGCTGAGCTGCACATTGAGGGTCTAAAGAACAATCAGCTCAGCCCGTCCCAGAGACACCCGTGGACTGGTTTAACCCTTTATGTTGTCGTTTATGTTGACGACAAACAAAACAAGGTAAATCATCTGCCTCACTGAGGCTGTGCAAATAGCATCTCAGTAATGCATATTTCAGTATCATTTCAAATAAAAAGTTCAGTCAAAGTTATGTGCATTCATCATAAAATAACATAAAATCATCAGAATCTAGATTATGTGAGAAAATTAACTTGCGCGTGAACCAATTAAAAGAATAATGTTTATGATTAAAAAACATTCTACTGTTTCCATGTTTCTAAAAATATTTTTTTTAATTAAACCTTTGCAAATCTTTGAAAGACTAGAAAAAAGTAAATATTTTGGTAGTTTTTATTTTTGCAGTAAACTCAGATTTACTAAAATGGAAATAAAATGATGTGAGTGAAATCACCGAGTAAACCATGCAGCAGATCTGAATGATAAATTGATAATGTTGTGTTATTTTATATATTTTTTGGCACAACATAGAGTGGAAAGGTTTTTCTTTTCAAAACATTTTAGGAAAAAAGATGAAAAAAAAGAATGATTTAAAATGTGTCTAATAAATATAAATGTCTTCATCTATGTTCAGGAGATTTTTTTAAATTCTGCAGCAAAGACTTTAACCCTTTGATGCATAATAGTCACTACAGTGGACAGGTACTCAAAATTGTTATTTATTTGTTTTTGCTATTAAGCACAGCTGTTGAAGACTTTATTGCATTTGAACCCCTCCATTTGGGCTTCAGTAAGCCAAGCCAACATATTTCATGTTCAGAATGCACGCTGTCCACTGAGGTGGATATGTAATAAATTATTTGTAAATTATAAAATTTAACAACAAATATTTGATGAAATTTGTTTTGTTCACACCTAAAGATGAATGAAAAAAAAATGTTAAAAAAATCATGGTTGAAGATTTCATAATTCATGCATCAAAGGGTTAAATATTAATAGTTTATTTATTGAACATCAGTGAAATGTCCAGATCGTGTAATTGATTGTAGCACAAACTAGTTCAATTTCCACCTCAGCTGCTTTGAGAGGTTTCTCCAGGGTAACAATAAATAAATGTAATCCCTGTGGATTATCTAAGGTTTGTAAACCTTTCTGATGATGATGTTACTCACCTGTTGGCTGACGAAGAGCAGCCTGGTAGCTGGTTGTGAGCTGCTGGGATGAGCAGATGAGTGGACGGCTATGCTGGGGCTCACTGTAAGGGCCAGCCAGGACTTAAGACCATTTTATACTCAGTCCACAGGGGGATTATGATGCTCCACCTCTTGTTTCTCATGTCACAATGTTTGGGCCAAACTGTCTAAATATAACTCACATTTATTTAAATACAGTTTAGATTTTTTTTGTGTTCCATCCATCCATTTCAGCCACCTATCCGGAGTTGGGTCGCGGGGACAGCAGCCTAGCCAACAAGCCCAGACTTCCCTCTCTCCAGCTACTTGGGCCAGCTCCTCTGGGGAATCCCAAGGCATTCCCTGGCCAGTTGAGAGACATAGTCCCTCCAGTGTGTCCTGGATCTTCTCTTGGGTCTCTTCCTAGTTGGACGTGCCTGGAAAACCTCACCAGGGAGGCATCCTGACAAGATGCCCGAGCCACCTCAACTGGCACCATTCAATGTGGAGGAGCAGCGGGTCCCACCCGGATGACCAAGTTTCTCACCCTATTTCTAAGGGAGAGCCAGACACCCTACGGAGAAAACTCATTTTGGCCGCTTGTATCCATGATCTCGTTCTTTCAGTGACTACCCAAAGCTCGTGACTTTAGGTGAGGGTAGGAACATAGATCGACCGGTAAATCGAGAGCTTTGCCTACTGACTCAGCTCTAAATTCACCACAACAGATACGTACAAGGCCCGTATCACTGCAGACACAGCGCAAATTCGCCTGTCCCTGTTCCATCTGTCCCCCACTCGTGAACAAGGCCCTGAGATACTTAAACTCCTCCACTTGAAACCAGGGGCGACGTTAGGCCCGGCTACTTGGGCTGAAGCCCCGGATGTTCTATGAAAAGCCCCGGATCTAAATCGCGGAAGTAACATGCAGTACCAAAGTCCAACAGAGAGGGAGCAGCTGGCAGTAGTTTGTATACAGCCTGCCTGAGCCTCCACCACTGAAGAAGAAGCCCTTCAGCAGACGGCTTCTTCTACAGTCTCTGCCTGAAACGCATGAGTGAAGATGGACATAAGGACGTTTTTTAGACAAAAAGTACAACGACAGAACCTCAGCTTTGATGATACTGGTGTTGACTCAGGTTTGTGAGTCTTATTTGAAAATATTTGTTGTGCTGCTGGTTTGCCTAAAGTTAGCTTACTATCAGGTGAAGTTGTTGGAGAGAGAAAGGGAATATTTACTATCATCTCACACTAAACACTAACAGGAACAATACTCTGCCCTGAAAATGCTTAATATGTAGCTTCAGATTAAAAATTATGTGGTACAAGACAAATATATATGATGTTGACTAGTGCGTGTCATGTGTGCGTGTGTGTTAAGCCCCGGATCTTCTTCAGTCCTAAAACCACTCCTGCTTGAAACAGGACCCCATCCCTGACCTGGAGAAGGCATTCTACCCTTTCATGATTCAAGACCATGGACTCAGATTTAGAGAATCTGATTCTCATCCCAGTTGCTTCACACTCAGCTGCAAACTGCTCCAGCGAAAGCTGGAGATCACATTCTGATAAACCCAACAACACCACTTAATCTGCAAAAAGTAGAGACCTGATTCTCAGGCCACCAAAACGGATCCCTTCAATACTTCGGCTGTGCCTAGAAATCCTGTCCATAAAAGTTACGAACAGAATTTGATGACTGGAAATGAGCCCGACTTACTGCCGGCAATGCAGACCAAGCTCTGACACTGTTCATACAGGACCCTAACAGTCTGTATCAGAGGCCCTGGTACCACATAATCCTGGAGTACCCCCCACAGGGCCCCCCGAGGAACACATTTGAACACCTTCTCCAAATCCACAAATCACATGTAAATTGGTTAGGCTAACTCCCACGCACCCTCCAGGATCCTCCCTCCAGCATGACCAGGACGAAAACCACATTGTTCTTTACTTAATCCGAGTTTTGACAATCCGACGGACCCTTTTTTCCAGAACCTCTGAATAGACCTTACCAGGGGGGCTCAGGAGTGTGATCCCTCTGTAGTTGGAGCACATCCTGCGGTCCCCCTTTTTAAATAGGGGAACCACCATCTCAGTCTGCCAGGCCAGTGGAACTTCCCCCGATGTCCATGCGACACTGCAAAGCCGCGTCAGCCAACACAGCCTCACAACATTCAGAGCCTTAAGAAAATCTGAACAGATCTCATCCACCCCCGGAGCCTTGCCACTGAGGAGTTTTTTTTTACCACCTCAGTGACCTCAGCATCAGAGATTGGAGAGCCCAACCCAAAGTCCCCAGACTCTGTTTCCTCACTGGAAGACGTGTCAGTGGGATTGAGGAGGTCTTTGAAGTATTCTGCCCACCGATCCACAATGTCCCGAATGGTCAGCAGCACACCATCAACACTGTAAACAATGTTCATACTGCACTGCTTTCCCCCCTGAGACGCCGGATGGTGGACCAGAATCAACTCGAAGCCTTATGGAAGTCTTGCTCCATGGTCTTACTGAACTCCTCCCACTTCCGGGTTTTTGCCTCCGCGACCACCCGAGTTGCATTCTGCTTGGAGTGCCAGTATCATCTGCTGTCTCTGGAGTCCCACAGGCCAAAAAGACCTGACAGGACTCCTTTTTTCAGCTAGCCAGTATCCCTAACCGCCGATGTCCATCAGCGGGTTCAGGGGTTGCGACCGCGACAGGCACCGACAACCCTTCGCCTCGACAATGGAAGCACGGAATATGGCGTACTTGGACTCAATGTCCCCCGCTTCCTTCGGGACATGTTTGGAATTCTGTTGGAGGCGGGAATTGAGACGCTCCCATCAGACCCTCACAATACATTTGGACCTGCCAGGTCTGACAGGCTTCCTCCCCCACCATCAAAGCCAACCTACCACCAGGTAGTAGTCAGTTGACAGCTCCGCCTCTCTCTTCACCCGAGTGTTCAAGACATGCAGCCACAGATCAGATGAAACAACAACAGAGTCGATCATCGAACTGCAGCCTAAGGTATCCTGGTGCCACGAGCATATATGGACACCTTTATTCTTGAACATGGTGTTTGTTATGGGCAATCCATGATAAGCACAGAGTCCAACAAAACATCACTCATATTCAAATCAGGGTGCCGTTCCTCCCAACCACACCTCTCCAGGTCTCGCTGCTGTTGCCCACATGATCGATAAAGTCCTCCAGCAGAACGAGGGAGTCACCAGAAGGAGCACTCTCCAGAACCCCGTCCAAGGACTCTAAAATGGGTGAGCAGTCTGAGCTGCAGTTTGGTTCATAATCACAACCCACAGTCAGGTCCCATTCCCCCACACGTAGGCGGAGGGAGGCTATGGCTGGCTGGATGGACATGGGTGTTATTGTAAATCTGTAGTGTTTAGTTTTAACAGTTGTGTTCCACATCTGGGTTTAAGTTTGTAGAAACATAAATGATAACAAAATAATTTTCACATTTATATCACTAGTAGTAAAACAAACACATTTCTCCCAGAAGACTCTAGAAGATTCCAACTCTGAAGCTAATAAAGCCATTAAGGATGCGTTGGCCCAGATTATATTATGGTTAAATTACAGATGCTGCAGGAAGATTCCAGAAAAGCCCAAACCAACTTATGTGATTGTCCCACTGCCTACTGCCTGACTCTTACACCCCCAAAAAGTTTTAAAATGTTCATTTCATAGCATTATCCTGTTACACAGTGATATCTGAAAATATGCAACCCCCTTATTCTGCCAGCTTCAAAAATGGGTGTTTTCTCCTTTCCAAGGTTAAACTGTAGAAAACAACTTTTATTTATGTGAGCTTGTTGTACTCTAATGAACTCATGGATAAAGGTAGTTATAATACTTCTCAGAAGTACACAAAGTACAATCTTGTTAATAATTATTACAAAAGCATCAGAAGTAATTGCTAGCTTGTGGCTAAATATATTGGTCTGTTACTACAAAGCATCGCCGTGTGTTAATTATATTTATTTTCTGGAATTTCTTTGTTCTGCTGCAGATCATCATAAACGAAGACCCACAGAAAACAAAGGACAGTAGCCAAGAAGTCATTTTCATTTCTCTTAATGACCCAGCAGGTCCCTGAGGTCCAGTGATCAAAGCCTACTGGTTGTGCAGCGCACTAGGCTAAAGACCAAAGGTGACAGATCATTTACTGCTGTGGCCCCCAGACTCTGGAGCTCTCTCCCCATGAGCCTGAGATCGGCGGACTCTGTCTCCTTTAGAAAGAAGCTGAAACTCACTTGTTCAAACTGGCTTTGGTGTGACCTTCATCACCACCCTCTCTCCATGCTGCCGTTTCTACCGATTCTATCATTCCTGGGATCCCGTATCACCTTTTCTTATGCATTTTTAAAATTCTTTCTTCACATTTAAAATGTTCCCAAAATTTATTAAGATATAATTTAAGATATGTATATATAATTATAATGTTTTGTTCTTATGAAGCGCCACGTGGTTTTTATCTTGAGAGGTGCTATATAAAAATAGTTTCTTCTTTAATTATAATCAGCAATATAAATTTGTCTTGCTGTCACGTCCCTCGCTCTGGGCTCTTTGTGTTTGTTCCTGTTTTAAAAAGTTTTCAGTTGAGCAGCAGTAGTTTTGTTGAACATGAGGGTTCAACTGTGGCTGAAGAGTTAGGAGTTGCAGGTTCAAACCCAGGCCCCACGTGTGACAGTCATTGTGTCCTCCTTGGATAAGACATGTTGCCCTCCTTTCTTGCTGTTGGTGGTCGGAGGGTCTGGTGTTACGTCTGTACTACAGCTTCGCTTCTGTCAGTGCGTCCCAGGACAGCTGCAGCTACATTGTGGCTCATTACCAACAGTGTGTGAATATGTGTGTGTGTCTAAATGGATGTACTGTATAACACTTTGAAGTCCTGTAACTTAGAAAAGCAAAATGCGGGCTGTTTACCAGCCTCGCTGATTGAAGACCTGAGTTAATCTCAGCAGGATGCTGACAGGACACACGTGACTGAATTTTCTAACACTGCTGGTGAGCTGAGTGAGCGCTGTGACACGATGGTGGGTTTGAATTAGAGCCGAACAATCAGAACTCCACCTGATGTTTTGGATTTCCAACAGATGATTTGCAAGCAAAAAGAAATGAGTTTCTTTGATTAAAAAGTAAAACAGGGGAAAATAAAAGGTGGGGGATAAAATGTTCAGTGGTGTAACACACACACACACACACACACACACACACACACACACACACACACACACACACACACACACACACACACACACACACACACACACACACACACACACGCGTACAAAACCAAACCTGAAACCTTCAAGACAGTGAAACACTGGAGGGTGTTTCAGATTAGGGCATTTTAAACCCATCATGCAGGATTACATTTCATCTGCTTGTAGTAAATTACAAAAAAATTATGTTACCCTGAGAGGTTAAAGTTTTTGCACTGACACAGAACCACTTATTGTAATTTGGCTTAATGCATGACTTTGCAGATTTGCGTTGAGACAATATTACGTTACCATGACGCAAAGTGACACTGGAGACCTGATCAGGACTAATCTGTGTGGAGTTTATCCCATAGTGTCAGAACGATCAGGATCAGACTTCTGAATGTGATCAGTAAAATGTCTCAGATATAATCTGCTGCACATCAGAGCATCACTGCTGCAGGCCTGGAGCTTCGTAATCAGGACCAGACCTGCACTGACTCAGAGTGATCAGGGTCACCTCAGAACTGCACCTGAGAGCAGCAGGCTGTGCTCACAGCAACGTCAGTAATAACATGAGCCTCTGTTAGCCACCTCAATCCTATTCACATTGAAATATTAAAGGTTTGTATAATAAAAAGTAATTTTTAGTGTTTTATGAGTACCATGTAACATTTATTAAAAAACAGGAGTGGGTGTAGTTTGAAACAAATCTGCAAAAAGTAAAGTTATAAATATACATTTGCAACATTCTCTAGTAGGAACAAATACCTGTTGTTCTCTAGGGAAAAAAAGCTTCGGTGATGACAGGATTTGGAGTCTTATTTCCTGATATTTTCGGATTGGACAACAGCAATGCGACTCTGCCAGTGACTCCGTTCGCTCTGTGACACTGATGTTTTATCTCCACAAATAACTCAAGCTTGGAAGAGTTCTGCTGTGAGGTGGAGTTTTTAATGCTAACGGTTAGCTTTTACTAGTTGAGATGTTCTCAGCTGTTTCCTGGATGCTAAACCAACAACAGCCTTCCCCATTGTGAGTCAAGATGGGTGAGTCCATGAATGTTAAGTGACAGTGTGACATAGATCTGTCAGGCTTTTAAAATCCTAGAGTTTCACTGTCTATTTTCTATCAGAAACTAATGCAGGCGATCGGTGTATGAGACTGTTTTCTTTTTCAGCCTGCATGAAAACCTTAGAGTGATTGATCAAATCAGAAATAATAATTAAAGGGCTCGTCATCCCTGCCTCAGAGTCCTGTTTCGCCCACATATCAATTTTGAAAATTGCAACATTCATAGGCGTTGCCTGGAGGACCGAGAGGGCGGAGCCGCTGCAGTGACAAAGACGGATGGGTAACGAGACGAAGCTGGCTTTTTTCACTCTGAGCAGTCATTATGAATGAAGGACGTTTCACCCCCTCCTTACGCAGACAATCGAGAAGAAAGGGACAAAGTCTCTTTGGAGGAGACAAGCGGACCTGGGGTCTCAAACATTGCGTAGAATCCTTACTAAAAAAGTACTTAAGCTCAGCAAAAAAAAATGTACTTACGCCAAGTAGGTTTGTGATCTATCAAACATGGAGTACGCACAGCTGCACGCAATCTCCGCTTCATAATTCAGAAACTATCTAGAAAGGTTCTCAGCTGCTTTTTAGTCACATCCCGCTCTCACCACGCCCACTTACTGCCATAAATAGTCAATGCAAAGTGCCTTGTGGATCTCGTGCATATACACAAGCCGGCTGTTGCAGCGCTCCACCAATGATGATGGCGGCCGTAGATCAAGGCAGATCAAGGAAGCGCAATTTCACAGAAGCAGAAATTAAGGTACTTGTGGGTGAGGTGGAGAAATGAAAGGAAGTGCTTTTGCAAAACAAATAAGAGAAAATCCACGGAGTGGCACAGCGTTGCTGAAGCCGTCAATGTTGTGAATTCTTCAGAGAGATCTGTGGTGGATATTACAAAAATGGTCCAATTGGGATTCGATCCCCAGACTCCAGGGTGAATGTCACACACGCTAACCAGTCACCCAAAGGGAGATCTCCATTGTCCAAGTAGCCAGTGTGTGTGATCAATTGGGTCACAGTGACAGGACACACTGTCACAGACGCATGACATTCTGTCTCATTCTGTCCCCCCATCTGTATTCTGCGCTTCAGGCTTTGTGTGTGTGTGCGAGCGCGCATGTGTGTGTGCATGTGGGGGGTCTTGTTCTGTGTGAAAACGAAGCAGTACAAGTGATAATGCTGCAGGATTTCATAATTGCATCCATCTCAGCAGCAGCACTGCAGGTGCTCTCCATGTCCAACATGTGCGTAAGCCAGGTCCTTATTCAACTTAAAGTTGCGCACATTTTCCCGCTACATTTTCTTTCATAAATCCCAAAGTTTGCGTGGAAAGTTGCTTACACAGTTTTCCGACCCCGTTTTGTGCATAAGCAAGCTTGATAAATGAGGCCCCTCAGCCTTTTTTCTTTGAGCTTGTGAGTTGCCTGAAACCGCCGGAGCCGACCCAACAGAACCAGCTCTGAATGGTAAGTAGCCGTTAGCCATAGCATTAGATTAGCTGCAGGATTCGGCCCCACTGCCTTAGAGAGCTATTATTCAGCATGTTTTAGAGGTTTATCTGCTTCAACACCTTATTTTAATCAGCCTCTAATAGCTGAGCTGATGAACAGCTAATCTAACACGTTAAAGCAGGAAACCACTGAAACATGTCGATAGCAGCTTTCTAGGACTCGGCCACCTACCCTGGGCTGAAGTTACTGTCTGCTGCAGAGAAAGTTATAAAAATACCCCATGAGAAAATTCTGTAATGTGTTATGTTACACAATCACAAACATCCACCTAAAATTGCCCCGATTTCATTATTTACTGATACCAGCTGTTCTCTTGGTCGTAGGTGATCCTCTGTTGGTGTCATCAGGATCAGGAGCTTCCAGAATAATGTGCCTTTGATTGATTCCTTCCTCCTTTAAACAGTTATTTGTTATATTAATTAAATAAATCTCAATTTATATATTTCCTGTTTTTGTTCATGCCCATAAATAATTAAACATGCTTGAATTTAAAATGAGCTTTTAACAGTGAGGTGCTAATTTGATTCATCACAATAGAGCTAGTTAAACGTTCAACAATGTGATAATTCAATAAATGTAATTTATAAATATCCATTAAAATATAAAATTGGAATTAAAATGAGACATTTGGCAGCACAAAGAACTTGTCAAACACAATATTTAGTATAATAATTGTAGGCAGACAGGAGACAGAGCTGATGGTAGTTCTCAGTCAGAGGATGGCAGAAGGCTTTCCAGGAACAGATGTGGTGTTGTCTCTTCTTTCTCTATTCTGCCCGATGAACTGATAGGTTACAGGTGTGTGAGGACATCCTCATGCTATCATAACCAAATGATGGCAGGAGTTATCAGGTGATAGCCAGTCTAATGACAAGATGCAGAAAGACAACAAATCCAGTGTACAATAATAACAACAATAATAATCTGTGGTGTTGCTCACCTTATTTGCTCTTATAGAATCTTGACATGTTCCTGCCTCATGGTGTAGCATCCATATTTAGCTGAGTGTTCTACAGTAATGCAGGTTATTAGTTAATTTACTTCTGATAGCAAAAAAACTAAATATTTAATGTAAAAGTTGTTTACCAGGTGAATCAGCTCACACGTCACCAAGTGTCACAGGGCCAGAATCAGTAGTCTCCTTCATGATGTAATCTAGCTCCAAGCTCAGCTATTAGCTAAATTGCGTGAACCAGGTCCACGTCTCTCTTACTTTGCATTTATAAATATAGCAAATATAGCTGGAAAATTACAGGTAGAGAACAGTCTTTAGAAGCTGTTAAAAGTAATTATTTATCTTACTCACCTCAGATTGGGCCCAAAATCTCCGGTTTGGGCAAGCAGCAGTCAGCGGGATCCGGCTAATTACTGGAACAGCTTGAACTAATTTGTGAAACGCTCTCCAAACCAGCATAATCCAGTTTAAACTCCATAAAGTTGGTGAAAGAGTCACATGTAAAAAATACTAAAATACAAAATCTAACAGCCAAGCTACTGGAACTAAATTATCATAATACTAGAAGCTTTGCTGGGACCCTGACTTAATGCTAATGCTAACTACAGCTAAGCTACAGCATAAACACTCACTTGCGGCTAATCTGAGTCCACTGCTACAAGCCTGGCGGAGACCACAATGCTTTTATAACCAACAGCCACAGAGGTCTGACTCCTGTTATGTTTCTTGGGACAGTTTCATCCATTGGTCGAGTCAGATTTCAAACTGCTGTTGTAAATTTGTGTAGAATAATTTTGAGCTGAAGAGGATGCTGGACTGAAGGTTTTAGGCAGAAATTTAAGTTTTTAAAGAAAATGCACCAAAATACAAAAATAACAACTACACATGCCTACAACACTATAATACACTTATTTAAATGAGTTATAAGCAAAAAAATAAAATAAAAAGATTTTGGTGTGACTTGCGCTTTAAACTTTTTCTCAGTAAACCACACCTTTAAAGCATTCAATAACTAAATACTAATGTATACACATTACCACCTAGTGGTCATTTTGTAGTTTTACACTTGCTTTAATTTCAAACACTTGTTTAAAAATTGATGTACAAGTTCACATTTAATGTGAGATTTATAAAATTGAGAGGGATTATTTTAGAATAATCCCAAAATTATGTGAAAAAAAAAGAACTAGAATAAAAAATAAAGTTTATGTATTTGAAAGAATTAAGAATCAAGTCTTAAAATAAAAATAAACTTCAATAACTTTTTATTGGAAATCTTAAACGTATAACTCAAGTACAAAGAAATTAAAGTACAGCAGTTTCAAATGTCAAACTGATCATTAAAAAAAGGTTAATTAAAATCTTTGATGGGTCCAGAGTTTTTACTTAATTTCAGCAGCACTACTGAGATGTTTAAATACAGCAGCATGTTATAAAAATCTGGCATGAAGAAAAAGAGACAATTAGGTCTTAATTTTTTCTCTGAAACGAGGAGTGAAAACCTGATGGTGGTGAAAAGGGTCCGTCAGAAACACAGATCTGCTCTCAGTGAAATGTCACGTCTTTTTTAGACGTCGGATCTCCATCTTGAGGTAAGCTTTTAGACTTTCATCAAGAACACTCTCCTCAACAGCAGCGAGTGCTCTGTCGCCTCCATTCTGATAATACTTCAGCAGCTGCTCCGCATATTCAATCCAAACGCAGTTATGGCAGCCGCTCATGCAGCAGTGCGTGGGTGGAGGTGGAGGGCCCTGATCAGGAGACTGAGGAGAGGATCTGTCCCTCAGCGCTGAGGCAGCTGGCTCCTCAGATGAGCTTTTGAGAACAGGAGGAGCAGATTCTGGTCCAGTGTTCACAAAGCGGTGAAGACGATGCCTCCACAGCTACAACACAGAGACAGAACTTGTTAGACCTTGTGTAGCAAGAAGACAAAGGAGAAGTTCATTTATATGATGATAACGGTGTTGTGGGTAAGTCAGTGCGCCCCAGGGCAGCTGGGGCTACATCGTAGCTCATCCCCACCAGTGTGTGAATGTGTGTGTGAATGGGTGAATGACTGATTGTGTTGTAAAGCGCCTTTTAGGGGTTCCAGAACTCTAGAAGGCGCTATATCAAATACAGGCCATTTACCATTTTGTTTACTTTTTGAACACAGAAGTTTTGTGAAACAGGAAAAGTTAAACGTTGAAGCTATGGATTCCTATTCTGTCGTTTGGTTTTGTAAAAGTTTGTATTTCATAAAAGAAAAACAAAAAACGAAGCAGAGTAAGTTCAGACACATTTGTTATCTGGGATAACTAATAATTAGTTTGTTAGTATTTAACTAGTTTGGTCATCTTTTCATGTTGGCCTTCATTTGTAAAACCCTATTATGTGATAAATAAGACATAATGTAAACATTTACTTCGTTAAAAATGATTTCCTGAACAAAAACAAATAAATCAACTGGCTTAACTAAACTGTTAGCTTAGCTAGCTTAGCAACCAACCTTGTGTAAAGACACCGACCAGGTCGCGGGTTTGACGCCCACAAATGACATCTCCTGGGCGGAAGGGTTGATCGGCTACGTGTCCGTAAGATTCATCTCATTCTGACTGACTGACTACTAATCCTTCCTTCTCCAGTTGTATCATCCACAGACATCTTGATGTCTATGGCATCATCCACCATTAGCGTTACAAGGATAGTTGCGTCACCTCTGAATTTCAACTTTGACCTTTGTGCGTAGTTGTAAACAAAAACATTGATTGGACGAAAGAAAAGCACACAACCAATGCCATGGCAGTCTGTCACGAAATAACCAATGGTGGATGGGGAATGGTTTGTGGGCGGACGAGCTGCGGTTCTGTTATTTGACCACGAGATGTCAGTATTTTACATATATGTTTTTAAAAACGTCAACGAATGTTCCATCGTCCCCCAAATATAAAATTCACTTTGGAAAGCCTTAAATTACATTTCTAGACCTCATTTTACAAAAGTATGCATGTTTTTCTACTACATAATATAACACTTACACACAATACAGGCAGACGTAAACGTTCTCTGAAGTAATAAAACAAATGAACTAAAACTTTCCAGCTTGGTTTTAACGATAAACATTAACAGGTCATGCCATCAACAGCTGAGAATCTCTGTTCCGTTTCACAAACAACCACAATGCTTGGAGATGGTCTGCTGTGGTGGAGAATCATATTTACAATTTTACACACTTTGTCATAATTTATCTACTGTCTCTATAGAAACAGTAAAAAGACATTTACATGTCACTCAGCAACACCTATGAGTTGGCTTTGTGAGCTACTGACGACAGCTTGAAAGTTGTGTTGTGAAAGCCATGTGTTATATTTGCAAAATATATTTAAATCAAGTTCATATTATTGCCTGCATGTTCCTTTTTAAACACCAAACATGCTGTATTTATCTAGGAAAATAACAGCATGAGCTGCTTTTTAAAAGCACTCAAATTTTCATTCCATTCTTCCATTTTCTAAATATGTTGATAATCTAAAATATTATTTTCACATCCTTTTAGAAGGAAATTGTGCTGTCACAAAAAAGTTTATTATTGTGCAACTTTGCAAGAAATAACAACAAAACCAACTAAATCTCTAAATTTAAGGAAAAACAAAATAGGTAAAAACACAAACAAACAAAACAAAACAAACAAACATCCATCCATCCACTTTTAGCTGCTTATCCGGCTTCGGGTCATGGGGGCAGCAGCCTAAGCAGGGAGGCCCAGACTTCCCTCTCCCCAGCTACATGGGCAAGCTCTTCTGGATGAATCTTATGGCATTCCCTGGCCAGCTGAGAGACATAGTCCCTCCAGCATGTCCTGGGTCTTCCTTTAGGCCTCCTCCCAGTTGCACGTGCTCGGAAAACCTCACCAGGGAGGCGTCCAGGAGGCACCCTAATCAGGCATCCTCTTGATGTGGAGGAGCAGCAGGTCTACTCCGAGCCCCTCCCGGATGACCGAGCATCTCACCCTATCTCTAAGGGAGAGCCCAGACACACCGCAGAGAAAACTCATTTTGGCCGTGTGTATCCGCGTTCTCATTCTTTTTGCCACTACCCAAAGCTTGTGACCATAGGTGAGGGTATAGGAACGTAGATCGACCGCTAAATCAAGAGCTCTGCCTCTTCACCATGACACACTGGAACAACTCCCGCATCACTGCAGACGCATCACTGCAGACGCAGCACCTATCCGCCTGTCGATCTCGCGATCCATCTTTGCCTCACCTGTGAACAAGACCCTGAGATACTTAAACTCCTCCACTTGGGGCAGGACCTCGTCCCTGACCCGGAGAACAAACAAATCAAACAAAAATACAGACAAATAAACTGACATAAATAAAAAAATAAAAAAATAGTAACACAACTTTAGTTTGTTAATCATACAGACACTTTTATCCAAAGTAACTTACAAGCTAACCTGACATGCATGTTAGATCTGTGAGAGGAAACCAGAGTACCTGGAGAAAACCCTCACATGCATGAGGAGAACATGCTAACTCCACACAGCCAGGCCGCAGCTGGGATCCATTTTTAACCTTCTTGCTGTGAGGCAACAGTGCTGCCAACTGTAGCACCATGCAGCTGCAGCAAACGTCTCTACAAGAGAATAAAAATGACCAGAGACTAAAACTAAAACACAGAATTACAGTTTTACCACAAGTACCCCAAATGGCAAACCAATCTGAGAAAACTCACAACAGAGACTTTTAACAACAATAAAATAGTTAAAATGATAAACACACATTACAGATGACAACAAGGAGACGGCATGAAAATAATTCAAATAAAGTCAATTTTGAAAAAGCAACAAAAACAACAACGTAAAAGCAATGAGACCAAAAATAGCAAAGAAGCACTCTAAAATAAAATAATAAAATAAATTCTACTTGATCGCAACTAAAAACATCCAGATGACAGAAACTCTTGAGGTGGGTTAGGATGGGTTGCACCTAAAACTTAAGACCAAGCCCATCTTTTCTACTTAATCTGATTTCATATTTGTCCTAAAAGCTTTGTGTTTTTCAGACTTAGGTTTAGTCCCTCTGCCCTGAAAAGGTTTTAGAGCTGCAGCAAACTGAGTTTATCAAGAACCTGATCTCTGATGTGGTTTTATTTGAGTGTCTGTGAGGTAATGATGACAGCCTCATTAAGGGTTTGACTCATCCAGCGATGCATGAATAGGTGTGTATGTGTGTGTGTGTGTGTGTGTGTGTGTGTGTTTTCACTGAGAGGAGACTTTCCTCCGGTGTTCAGTGTTTGGGGTCTGTATCCATGGCAACGTGATGTGGAAATGCAGCCGCTGCTTGGCACCAGATGTCAGGAGTCCAATCAGCCGTGTGAGTTCAGCAGAAATCCCCTGAGATCAAATCCATAGGAGACCCACTACACACACACACACACACACACACACACACGCGCACACACACACGCACGCACGCATGCACACGCACATGGAAAGACAAGCTAACTTCAAACTGCACCTTTAAAACAAACAGACCCTTTAACAAACTCAGTGATTCAGATTTATTGTTGGACTCACAAAGGCTTTTATTACAGTACGGGTCGTGTTTCTCCACAGATAGAAAACCACTGCAACTGATTCATTTCTCTTAATAACAAGTCATCATTAAAGACACAGTCGTTTGATTGATCCAAAGATAAACATGGAGTCATTCCATCACAGTGGTTTTTGGATGAAATCTTTGAAATTTAAAATACATCCTCAGACAACATCATGACTGTTGAAAAAGACAAAATATGAACAAACAGTTCTTTTAGAAGAATCACAAACAGCACAGGTAAGATGCGAAAGTGAGCCAGGGCAATGTTAAAAACAGAAACTTCACATGGTAAAAATCTCAATAAATGCATGAAGACAAAATAACCACAACACACCCAATATGACACAAAGTAGCACTGAAATTAAAAGGTAAGAAAGCAACAAAACAGTGCACAACTGACCACTAGGAAACACAACAAAAACATTATACCAAAAACAACGAGCTCTCAAAATGACTCTGTGTCAAGTCTTTGTATGTTTAATCACAATGCCATCATCATCATCATCAACAACAACAACAACAACAATGATAATATTACATTGGATGACCTAGAATAGACCACAGGGAGACACAGCAATGCACATGAACTGAAAATGATCATAAACGTAATAAACACAGGCAGAAAACTCCAAAACACTTTAAAAGTGAACTGATGTTAAAAACCAACTGCCACCTCTACGCCAGCCTGGTTCTGGTCCTTTTCCTCTCGTTTTTTTTTTCTGTTTCCTGTTCAACACACAGGTCTGTTTATGTTTCTGTCTGCTTCTGACAGGCTTTAGATCAGTTATCTGACCCCCAGGGACTTCCCAGAAAACATGTGAGCACAGTGTGTTTATGTCAACAACATCAGAACACAAACAGGATGATTTTATACTGTTTCTGTATGAGGAAAGGCTCTAAAACTGTCAGAGATCCTGATGTAAACTGCACCCAGATCAGATCTGACTGCAGTCTTACTCAGAGGCTCAGACCTGAACTCCCAAAAGACTTCGCTGTTCAACATTCCAGCTTTGAATTTAAAATCTTCATTGTTTTTACAAAACATGTTGATTTCATAGGCCACTGCTGGGATTTGATCCTGCGACCTCCCCACTACGAAGCAACAGTGCTGCCAAATGTTTCAGGTATCCCAACAAAACAAAGATCAGAATTCCAGAAATGTTTCAGCTCAGCCATGAAATGCTTGTGTCGACGTTGCTGGGACACAGGAGGGAAATCAGGCTTAATCTGATGGTTTAAGAACAAAACACACCAAAGACACTAAATAATTATCTTGACAAAGGATAGAGAGACGGAGGGACAGATAGACTGGGTGGGCTGATGACTGGAGGTGGACCAGGTGAGTCTTTTGTGAGATGAGAGGTGGTGGTTGATCAGTGAACAGGCGACTGGGAACTCGACAGCAGGCATCAATGATGGAGTCTCAGAAAACCAACTTATGTAAACAGGAACAGGAAACACTTTAAAAACTCCAAACCATCACAATCTCACCTCGTAATTTCACTAGAGCCCCATAGGTCTGTTTAAACCTGCTTAAACCTCAGATTAAAAGGTAAATCAGAGCCAAAGCAACATCTGTGTTTTTGAGTCTGTGAGGATGAGCTGCAAGGACATATTGTGGTGCTCAGGTGTCCCTCTGATGGACTCACAGCCGCAGCTTTGTCCTGAGGACACAAAGGACGCTCTGTTTGGACCTACGAGCAGATGACAAGTGAGTGTCACACCTCGACCGGCAACGTGCACCAATCAGCGTAAGTGCGTTAGAGTCTGAGAGCTGCAGGAAACACAAGCTAGCTTACAGAGAATCCAAGAGAAGTACATTTGATGTTGCTCAGAAATCCCTGAAAGAGGGCTTGTTTCGTTCACAGCATTTACTGTTACAAAGGAAAAAAACCTGCATTAATTATTCAGTCCTGTTCCTTCTAATCTTATTGGATGCTTCAAACAGTCCATCAGCTAATGATTCTAGTGATTCTCTCCTCAGAAGAAAAGCTTCTCCCTCAGAGTAAAGGTTGGTAGTGAAACAAGCATAACAGCCACGGAGGAAATGTTTAATTAGAGCTGAGCTGTGGGACAAGCCTCCTCAGGAGAAACACGGCAGGAAAACTGAACTAAAAGCAAAAATAATCACTATTCAAATGCAGCA